GCAGTGGTCTCTCTGTAGAAGTCTGAGATGCCCCCTGTGGAATTAGACCTGATAGCTCTCCAATCAGCAAAGTTGATATTCCCTGCAGATTGGAGATCTCCAACTCTGACCAGCAGAGGGTGTGTCAGATCTCTGCTCTATGTGTGGAAGCAGTGGTCTCTATGTAGAGGTCTGAGATGCCCCCTGTTGAATCAAAACTAGAACTCCCCAATCAGCAAAATTCATATTTCCTTCTGATTGGAGATCTCCAGCTTTGACTAAGCATAAGATGTGCCGGATCTTCGCAGAGAGGCCACTGCTTCCCCATCCTTCTCTGCAGGGCAGGGGAGAGGCTTTTGAGGGCTTCTGAGAGGCTGTGGCTGCTTTCTAAAGGAAAGACTTTGTTTTGGTGAACCTGGAATGTATTTAATTCTTTAAAACTTTAGACAGGCTTATTTAATGTGCCCCCCCCCCCCCAAATTCCATGAAACAATACATAAAAGTGCAAAACAGTACCTGTCGGGGGAAAAATAGATAATATACTCACCTTTCTAGATCTCTGCTCTCTGTATGGAAGCAGTGGTCTCTCTGTAGAAGGCTGAGATGCCCCCTGTAGAGTTAGACCTGATAGCTCTCCAATCAGCAAAGTTAATATTCCCTGCAGATTGAAGATCTCCAGCTCTGACCAGCAGAGGGCATGTCAGATCTCTGCTCTCTGCATGGAAGCAGTGGTCTCTCTGTAGAAGTCTAATATGCCCCCTGTTGAGTCAGAACTAGAGCTCCCCAATTTCTGTAGTGCGGAGGGTGACGTCATCCTTTTTCCGACAAGATCCCCTGAGAATGAAGAGTAGCCCAAATCTCATGAGCTGCACTGTGCAAGATCGTCTTGTGACAATCGGGCCCCTCAACGTTCTCCGAGATCTGGCCGGAAGCCGGATGACATCACCTTTACCTGGGTGCTGCAGACAAAAGGTGGGGAAAGGTATATGCTGTATATTATCTAATACCCCCACACAGGATTGGTTTGCAGATTCATCCAGCTTTTAAAGAAGAAGGAGGGGGCACCTTGAATGAGTGCACATTGTCACTGGGGTGTTAGGTCCAAATTAAACTGATGGTTCAGTTGGGCTTGAAGTCCTCCTAGCTGGTTATAAAGAATGCCGGACATGTAGGCAGAAACCACCTGCCAGACTTTGATATGTGTAAGATCAGGTCACCCCCATGTACATATGAATGGAGCTGGGAGGGTGGAACATACATAGGAGGAAAAAAGCAACTGGGCAAGAATTTTTAAACCTGTCCAGTTGAACCCCCAAGAATGGTCAGCCAGGGGTCTCTGACCATCAGTATGTCATGCAGCCTGGATGGAAGCTTTAGGGCCCATTTACATTTCTTATAGTGCATTAACGCACATTAACATGACTCGTGTTAAAGCAGCCCATTGGAAATAATGGACTGCCAATGCACCAAAATGTCCTGAAAATTGGGCGAGTGCCAACATTTCTAACCCAACGCACTGTGGTGCAGTGCCATGAACCGGAATGGGCTGAAACACATGTGCAGGGGTCTCGAAACTATGGCTCATGGGCCACATCCCGCTACAAGGTTTTATCTGGCCCGCAGCCAGAGTCAGTGGCATATCCTCAATGTGAACTGATTAGAGGATTGAGGTCAGCAGAGGCTGCCAATGGTCTCTGATTCTGATGTAAGCAGGAACTGTGATTGGACCTTGATGGAAGGGTGGTGATGGGGACCTGATGGAAGGGTGGACTATGATGGGGATCCTGAATGAAGGATGGTACTTCTCCTCCTAAGGTAGACTCTGATGTAAGGAGGCCTCTGATGGGGATCCTAACGTAAGGGGAAATCTGATAGGGACCCTGATGGAAGGGCAGACTCTGATAGGGACCCTGATGGAAGGGCAGACTTGATAGGAACCCTGATGGAAGGGCGGACTCTGATGGGGATCCTGAATGAAGGATGGTACTTCTCCTTCTAAGGTAGACACTGATGTAAGGGTGGGGATCCTAACGTAAGGGGAAATCTAGGGACCCTGATGGAAGGGCAGCCTGATAACCCTGATAAGGGCAGACTTTGGAAGGGCGGACTCTGATGGGGATCCTGAATGAAGGGACAGGTTGATGTAAAGAGGGAACAGCCTAACGGGGAATCTGATGGGGACATGATGTAAGAGGGAACACTAATGGGGACCCTGAAGGGGGCACTTTGATAGGGACCCTGGTAGAAGGGCAGACTCTGATAGGGACCCTGATGGAAGGGCGAACTCTGATGGGGATCCTGAATGAAGGATGGTACTTCTCCTTCTAAGGTAGACTCACATGTAAGGGAGGCCTCTGATGGGGATCCTAACGTAAGGGGAAATCTGATAGGGACCCTGGTGGAAGGGCAGACTCTGATAGGGACCCTGATGGAAGGGCAGACTCTAATAGGGACCCTGATGGAAGGGCGGACTCTGATGGGGATCCTGAATGAAGGATGGTACTTCTCCTTCTAAGGTAGACTCAGATGTAAGGAGGCCTCTGATGGGGATCCTAACATAAGGGGAAGTCTGATAGGGACCCTGATGGAAGGGCAGACTCTGATAGGGATCCTGATGGAAAGGGCAAACTCTGATGGGGATGGTGAATGAAGGATGGAACTCCTAAGGTAGACTCTGATGTAAGGAGGCCTCCGATGGGGATCCTATTATAAGGGGGAATCTGATAGGGACCTTGATGTAAGGGGGGACACTAATGGGAACCCTGATGTAAGAGGGCATACTGATAGGGACCTTGCAGGAAATGGGGCTCTGATAGGGACCCTGATAGAAGAGGAGATTCCTAAGGCAGATTCTGCTGTAAGGATGGCTCTGTTGGGGACCAAACGCAATGGGGGCTCTGATGGTGACCCTGATGTTAGAGAGGACCCTCATGGAAGCGCGGACTCTGATAGGGACCCTGATGGAAGAGGGGACTCCCTGATGGAAGAGAGGACCCTGATGGGGAATGAAGGAAGGAGCTCCCAAGGTAGACTCTGATATAAGGAGGCCTCTGATGGGGATCCTAATGTAAGGGAAAATCTGATGGGGACCTTGCTGGAAGGGGGACACTGATAGGGATCCTGATAGAAGAGAGGAATCCTTAGGCAGACTCTGCTGTAAGGCTCTGTTTGGGACCATAATGCAAGGGGGAGCTCTGACCCTGATGCTAGAGAGTACTCTGAGGGGGACCCTGAAGTAAGGGGGAACTCTTATGGGGACCCAGAAGTAAGGGGAACTCTGATGGGGACCCAGAAGTAAGGGGGAACTCTGATGGGGACCCAGAAGTAAGGGGGAACTCTTATGGGAGACCCAGAAGTAAGGGGGAACTCTGATGGAGACCCAGAAGTAAGGGGGAACTCTTATGGGGACCCAGAAGTAAGGGGGAACTCTTATGGGGACCCAGAAGTAAGGGGGAACTCTGATGGGGACCCAGAAGTATGGGGACCCAGAAGTAAGGGGGAACTCTGATGGGGACCCAGAAGTAAGGGAGAACTCTGATGGGGACCCAGAAGTAAGGGGGAACTCTGATGGGGACCCAGAAGTAAGGGGGAACTCTTATGGGGACTCAGAAGTAAGGGGGAACTCTGATGGGGACCCAGAAGTAAGGGGGAACTCTGATGGGGCCCAGAAGTAAGGGGGAACTCTGATTTAAGGTTGGACTCTGGTGGGGACCCTGATATAAGATGGCACTCTGATAGGGATCCTGATGTAAGATCGGACTCTGATAGGGACCCTGATGGGGATTTTGTTTTGGCCCATGATTATGTGCTAAATATACAATGTGGCCCTTATACTGAAAAATTAGGAGACCCCTACCTTACCTTGCACTGGGGTGCCACTCAAAATGAATAGCACCACAACGCATGTAATGTCCATAGCCACACATTGGGGTAATATGTACATTACCAAAACCCAATCATGTAAATGGGCCCTCAATGGCCCCCCGTAAACAAAGACACCCCGTCTATGGCTGCTACAGGCAAGACACGTTTTATTTGATCCTGTCCTCCATTTTATCTGCACAAAGCCTGACGCGTCGTCGCTGCAAAACAAACAGCTCGTGGCCGCCGGCCAGCAAGGCTGGAAACAACTTGGAACAATGTTTCTTTTTCCACAGAGGGACGGCACGGGAGATAATAACAATCATTTGCAAATCGCTTTATTGCAGTGGGACGTAAATTAGAACAAAAAAACATAAAAATGTATAGATTTTGTTTCATTTCAAGGAACTAAAGGTCTTCAGTATCACTAAATAATGCAGCAGGAAAAAAAAAGTGTCCGAGGGATCAAGTTTATATTTATAATAACTGCACATTCATTTTGCTCTCGGCTAAGTGCTGTCTTAAAACGGGTGCAAGTTGTTATATCCAAAACTGATTGTGTTTTTCATGGATGTTAACGATTCAAATCACATTCTTTATAGATGTCATTTTAAGGGTTACGTTAACCAATTTAAAAAGGTAAAAACACTGAAAAGTCAAGTATTTTAAATGCTTACTTGCTATATGTTTTCATAAATGGTTTCTGTTTTACTTGCAATGTGCCTTTTGTATGTCCTAGGAAATGTTATTACTCCAGTAAGGGCCAGTTCCCTAACACAGCCCCCTTCTTCCTCACACGTCATAGCCCTTTCCTATTCTGGGCGTGACTGATTACAGTCTGTGCTGGCCCAGCTCCTCTGCTCCTCCGCTTACGTACCCACATACGTAGCTGACAAGGAAACAGTAAAGGGAAATACAGTAGCGTCAATTGAGTGACAGCTGAGGCTGCTGACATCACATGCAAAATGGCAGTGCCCCGCTGCAGTCACAGGGGAGCCTTGTACAGGTCAATATCGTGCATACAATGTGGTCTAGAAACAGGGCCTCTTTAAGGGTGACGTTTGAGGGTCATTTCATGGAGTAGGCTAAGTTTTAAAGTGTTACTAAACCCACAACAGTACAATCAGTCTGTAGATGCAGTAAAGCATGCTTGTTGAGACCAGATATAGTGAATGCAGGGTCCGGGGAGAGCGGATATAGTGAATGCACGGTCCGGGGAGAGCGGATATAGTGAATGCAGGGTCCGGGGAGAGCGGATATAGTGAATGCAGGGTCCGGCGAGACCAGATACAGTAAATGCGGGGTCCGGGGAGAGCGGATATAGTGAATGCAGGGTCCGGGAAGACCAGATATAGTGAATGCAGGGTCCGGGGAGACCGGATATAGTGAATGCAGGGTCCGGGGAGACCAGATATAGTTAATGCAGGGTCCGGGGAGAGCAGATATAGTGAATGCAGGGTCCAGGGAGACTGGATATAGTTAATGCAGGGTCCGGGGAGAGCGGATATAGTGAATGCAGGGTCCGGGGAGAGCGGATATAGTGAATGCAGGGTCCGGGGAGACTGGATATAGTGAATGCAGGGTATGGGGAGACCAGATATAGTGAATGCAGGGTCCGGGGAGAGCAGATATAGTAAATGCAGGGTCCGGGGAGACTGATTATAGTGAATGCGGGGTCCGAATGGGGAGACCGGATATAGTGAATGCAGGGTCCGGGGAGACCGGATATAGTGAATGCAGGGTCCGGGGAGACCGGATATAGTGAATGCAGGGTCCGGGGAGACCAGATATAGTGAATGCAGGGTCCGGGGAGACCAGATATAGTGAATGCAGGGTCTGGGGACAGCGGATATAGTGAATGCAGGGTCCGGGAAGACCAGATATAGTGAATGCAGGGTCCGGGGAGACCAGATATAGTGAATGCAGGGTCCGGGGAGAGCGGATATAGTGAATGCAGGGTCCGGGGAGAGCGGATATAGTGAATGCAGGGTCCGGGGAGACTGGATATAGTGAATGCAGGGTCTGGTGAGAGCGCATATAGTGAATGCAGGGTCCGGGAAGACCAGATATAGTGAATGCAGGGTCCGGGGAGACCAGATATAGTGAATGCAGGGTCCGGGGAGAGCGGATATAGTGAATGCAGGGTCCCGGGAGAGCGGATATAGTGAATGCAGGGTCCGGGGAGACTGGATATAGTGAATGCAGGGTCCTGGGAGACCGGATATAGTGAATGCAGGGTCCTGGGAGACCGGATATAGTGAATGCAGGGTCCTGGGAGACCGGATATAGTGAATGCAGGGGTCCTGGATATAGTGAATGGAGAGGGAGAGCATATAGTGAATGCAGGGTCCTGGGAGACCAGATATAGTGAATGCAGGGTCCTGGGAGACCGGATATAGTGAATGCAGGGTCCTGGGTTTAGTAACACTTTATGGTCCATTTGATTTGTTGCAGTACATTACTGCACGTGAGTTATTGCGCATTATGTCATGTGTTATCGCACCAAAATGTGCTGAAAATTCAGCCATGAAAATTTTTAACCAATTGCACTGTGGTGCTTTGCCACACGTTGCGGTACACTGCAATACATGTGCATTGCTTCAATGTGTTGGGGTGCCATTCAAAGTGAAGAGCACCACAATGCATAACATGCATTGCGCAAATGAGTCCTCAAGGGTAGCGATTAAAGTTGGCCATACACTAATCAATTTTTTTTTTCAATCCGTGTCCATGGCAACACCAGGATTGACAAAAGTTTATGTTTCAGTTGACTTTTGTCGACTCTCTGGGTGCACAATTGTGCATCCAAGCGGGTACTGTGTGGGTTTTCTGACAGCCGGGCATAGGTGAAGGGGTGTAGATAAGGGGGGGGGGGATAGGGGGGTCCAAATCCTCCCAGAGCATCTGCCTGGCCTCAGCTACTGCTGCCAGCCTGCATAACAGAAATACTGCAATGGCCGCTTCTGAAACCTGACAGAACTCAGATGGAGGCGGCAACAATTCAGAGGCCCAGAGTCTCTCATTTGGTCCTTCTCAGCTCCAGTCACATGACACAGCCAAGGGAGGACTTCCCCTTACTCTGAAATACCTGGTCCACTAAGTGTAACTATTAACGAGGGGAGAGCTGAACTGGGGGAAAGGTGATCTATACTGGGGGGGAGCTGTACTACTAATGGCTGAGATCTGTACTGGGAGGAGTGGGGCTGCACTGGGGGGGATCTCTGCACTGGGGGAAACCTGTACTTGGAGGCAGGATCTATACTGGGGGAAATCTGTACTGGGGAGAGGGATCTGCACTGGGGGAGATTTATGCTCTGTGACAGAATTGATACTGGGAGACATCTGTATTGTACTGTACTCAGGGTGGGGAGGGATCTCTGCACTAGCGGAGATATATACTGGGAGGCAGGATCTGTACTGGGGGGGGGGGGGGGGAATCTGAACTGGAGAGAGCTGTACTAGAGGGTAAGGATCTGTAATGGAGAAAATTTGTACTAGGGGGGAGAGATCTGCACTGGGGGGGAGAGCTGTACTGTGGGGCAGAATCGGTACCTTTGAGAAACCTGTACTGTACTGTACTAGAGGGAGTGATCTCTGCACTGGCGGAGATTCTATACTGGGGGGGGGGCAGGATCTGTACCAGGGGAAAATCTGTACATGGATTGGGGGGGGGGGGATCTGAACTGGAGAGAGCTGTACTGGAGGGTAAGGATCTGTAATGGGGTAAATCTGTACTGGGGGGAGAGATCTGCACAGGGGAAGAGTTATACTGTGGGGAAGAATTGGTACTGGGAGAAATCTGTACTGTACTAGGGGGAGTGATCTCTGCACTGGCAGAGATCTATACTGGGGGGCTGGATCTGTACCAGGGGAAAATCTGTACTGGGCGGGGGATCTGAACTGGCGAGAGCTGTACTGGAGGGTTAGGGACCTGTACTGGGGGGGGGAGATCTGAACTGGCGAGAGCTGTACTGGAGGGTTAGGACCTGTACTGGGGAAAATCTGTACTGGAGGGAGAGTTCTGAACAGGCGAGAGCAGTACTGGAGGGTTAGGACCGATACTGGGGGGAAATCTGTACTGGGGGGAGAGATCTGAACTGGTGAGAGCTGTAAACTACTGGAGGGTTAGGACCTGTACTGGGGAAAAATCTGTACTGGGGGGGGAGAGTTCTGAACTGGCGAGAGCTGTACTGGAGGGTTAAGACCTGTACTGGGGAAAAATCTGTACTGGGGGGAAGAGAGATCTGCAGTGGGGAAGATCTATACTGGGGGGGGGGCAGGATATGTACTTGGGGAAATCTTGCTAGAAGGGGAGATCTATACTGTAGGAGTGGGATCTGTACAGGGGGGGGAGATCTGTACTGGGGGGAGATCTATACTATGATAGCAGGATCTGTACTAGGGAAATCTGTAATAGAGGGTAGATCTGCACTGGCTGATTCCCCCCCCCCCCCCATTCCCTGGAAAAAAAAAATTCTAGGGCCTTGAACAGGTGTATGGCCAGATTTAGTGGTTTAGGGGTAAGTGATAGCTGAGAGGCAATGTGGGGAATAACATCACCCCAAAACCTAGTATTTAAAAAAAAACATTTGGATGCAAATGTGAGACATAAAACAAAAGCATATGTCGCTCTGCCAGTAATACAATAAAACCTCTTATGCACAACTGAGCCAAGTCATCAAGAGAAGACATGCACCTGATTCCAGAGACAACTTAGCTGAGAGTGAAATAGAATTGTCAGGCAGCCCCTGTCTGCTGAAGCCCATTTTCTTGTTCTTCATTCCAGGAGATATTATGTGTACTGATGATCAGGATGTAAGGAGATACATATGTTTGTACATTATTGTTCTCTCCTCCTCGTTCTGTGGATCTCTATGTTTTATACTGGCTGTACTGTATGTGACTCCATGTTGGTGTATCGGTGTCCTGCTGTCTTTGTGTCCGACTTGTGTTGTCACCTCTCATCTGACTGTTCTCCCTCTCTCTCAGACCCGAACAGACTTTTCCTGGGATGGCATCAATGTGAGTGCGGTTATTCTCTGCCTTTCCTTCTCTCTCACTCTCCGTCTCTCTCCGGCACTCTCTCTCTCTCTCTTTCTCTCTCTTTTTCGCACTCCCTCACTTTGGCGCTACGGTCGTTCATGATTTTTTCGGAAAGTTCCAAATTCATTTTCATTTTTTTTTCCCACTTGAATTTGTTTAAATAAAACCTCCACTTTGGTTTATTTATAACCTTCAGTAAGTCCTTTGATAAGATTCTGGTCATTGTTGGCGCCCCATTGGTTAAAGTGGGACTTCTATGAGGGGTGGAAGGTTAGGACCTCTGTCAGTGCTCATTCACACCTCTGCAGTATGCTGGCGCACGTTACGGCAACCTGCGATAACGCACTTTACTTGCGTTACATTCATTTTCAATGGCACCCGAAAGCATTTACCTAATGCACGTGTGAGACACATGTGTTGCGCCATGACGCACAGCAATGCACTACCATACACTGCAGTGTGCTGTGTCAGAAAAAAAGATGCATGCCCATTTTGGTGCATTGCCAGCCCTTTTAAAAAATGGGCTGCCTTATGTAATGCACTAAGACACCCGAATGCACTTACTTAATGCACATATGAGGCACATGTGTTGCGCCATGACGCACATGTGTTGCGCCACAATGCACAGCAATGCACTACCATACACTGCAGTGTGCTGTGTCAGAAAAAAAGATGCATGCCCATTTTGGTGCATTGCCAGCCCTTTTAAAAAATGGGCTGCCTTATGTAATGCACTAAGACACCCGAATGCACTTACTTAATGCACATATGAGGCACATGTGTTGCGCCATGACGCACAAGTGTTGCGCCACAACGCACGGCAATGCGCTACCATACACTGCAGTGTGCTGTGTCAGAAAAAAAGATGCATGCCCATTTTGGTGCATTGCCAACCCTTTTAAAAAATGAGCTGCCTTATGTAAAGCAGTAAGACAGATGAGTGTGGCCACTCCTCCTATACATTTATAGAAAGATGGTATATAAATGTACACATTTCGGAGGTAAAAGAATCCACCTTCTTCAGGGCTGTGAACAAACGGGTGTCTGGTCTACAACAACATTTTAGAAATACTCACAGGTTAGTGTATCTATATTTTTATTAAATGCTAAAAGAAAAAAAAAAAACTAAAGATAAAAACTAAAAAATTACCAATAAGTCAATAACAATTAAAATCCATATCTTTTTTACAGGGTCTATGAATAAAAAGTATTCTAAAAAAAATTATAAATATAAGAAAAGTTATTAAAAAAAAAAAGAATCGCACTATAACCACTAAATGGAGCTGATGATGATAGGAGATAATCATATTGCAAAATATTCAGTGATCATTCGTTGCGCCTTTGCAAATGCTGCATCCCGCACAGCAAATTTTTATACATAGACCCCTAAGTGTATTTTTATTTTTTAGTTTCCTACACTGAATATGGATTTTAGATATTACTGACTCATAATACTTTTTTTTATTTTTATGGATATTAAATATTAATGGTTCATTAGTCATTTTTATTATTTTTTTAAAGATTTTTTTTCTTTTAGTATCTTTAAATCTTGTTGCAGACCAGACACCAGTTTGTTAAAAAAAAAAAAAAAAAATTAAGCTACTGAAAGAAAAAAACAAAAAACTAAAAAAACTAAAAAAAATAGTGAATAAAATTTAGTCTGTAATATTATGAAGTGTAAAAAAAACTAAACAACAAAAAATTAAAAATAAAAATACACTTGGGACTTGTTTAATACAGCTATTTCCTATAGTCATTAGATCTTGTGGCCACAATGTGGTTTTTGTTTTTCTAAAATACCTCAATTCAGGGGCGGACTGACCATTTGGAAACTTGGGCACTGCCCGAGGGCCCGGGGTCAGTAGGGGGCCCCATGAGATGCCCCTGGTACCTTTTCATAAGCTTTTTTGATATTTACTTCAATTTAGGGCAAGCACACAGGGGCCCCATGATCCCCTATTGCCCGGGGGCCCCATGAGTTGTCAGTCCGCCCCTGCCTCAATTATAAGGTTTTCTGCATTATAGCCACTACTGTATATGGAGTTGACAATCACAAGAAATCACTGTACTAAGGAAAATACATCAGGGCTGGGTGAATGATGGTCACATTCACCCAATTCATTTTTTTTTTATAACTAGACATTTTAGTATTAATATGGATTTTAATTGACTATTAGGCAATTTTTAGTTTTTATTGTTTACTTTTTTTTTCTCTTGGTATTCTAGAAATATAAATATATACTCCTCTTTGAATATATATAATATTTTGGTAGACCAGACACCCATTTGTTTATACCCCTGAAGACCCTTGTCAGCCCCATTTTTTTGGTGACTTTAAATAAAATTAATAATTATAATTAATAATAATATATAATTATATATATAATCAATAATAAATAATTAAATTAATTATTGAAATATTATTTTTTATTCTGGGCTTTATAAGTGGAGTGGCTCTTCTATTCTCTATCCTGTCTGCCTATTTTTCTAAGAGATTTAAATGAGATCTAGAAAAACAGAGCTGACAGCTAACTTCCATAAAAAAAAAAAAAATAAATGGATTTTAATTAATTTTTAGGTCATTTTTTTTTAGTTTTTATTGTTATTTTTTTTTTCTCTTGGTATTCTATAAATATAAATATAAATTCCTCTTTGAATATTAATATGTTAATCTATAATATTGTGGTAGACCAGACACCCATTTATTTATAGCCCTGAAGACCCTTGTCAGCCCCAAAACATTTTTTTTTTCTGGTGACTTTAAATAAAGTGAATAAAAATTTAATAAATTCTTGAATTTATTTTTATTTTGTTCTGGGCTTTATAAGTGGAGTGGCTCTTCTATTCTCTATCCTGTCTGCCTATTTTTTCTAAGAAGAGATTTAAATGATTTCTAGAAAAACAGAGTTGTCAGCTAACTCCCATAAAAGAAAATAAAAAAATATGGATTTTAATTGACTTTTATGCAATTTTTAGTCTTTATTGTTACTTTTTTTTTCTCTCAGCATTCTATAAATATAAATATATACTCCTCTTTGATATAATTAATATGTTAATATATAATATTGTGGTAGACCAGACACCCATTTTTGTTCATACCCCTAAAGACCCTTGTCAGCCGCAAAACACGTTTTTTTCTGGTGACTTTAAATAAAATGAAATAAATTATTGAAATAATTTTTTTTTCTGGGCTTTATAAGTGGAGTGGCTCTTCTATTCTCTATCCTGTCTGCCTAGTTTTCTAAGAAGAGATTTAAATGAGTTCTAGAAAAACAGAGCTGTCAGCTAACTCCCATAAAAAAAATAAATAAAAAAAATATGGATTTTAATTGACTTTTAGGTCATTTTTAGTTTTTATTGTTACTTTTTTTTCTCTTGGTATTCTATAAATATAAATATATACTCCTCTTTGAATATTAATATGTTAATCTATAATATTGTGGTAGACCAGGCACCCTTTTGTTTATACCCCTGAAGACCCTTGTCAGACCCTAAATGCGTTTTCTCTGGTGACTTTTTAAATAAAATTAATAAAAATTAAATAAATTCTTGAAATAATATTTTTTTTATGGGCTTTATAAGTGGAGTGACTCTTCTATTCTCTATCCTGTCTGCCTAGTTTTCTAAGAAGAGATTTAAATGAGTTCTAGAAAAACAGCTGTCAGCTAACTCCCATAAAAAAAAATAAAAAAATATGGATTTTAATTGACTTTTATGCCATTTTTAGTTTTTTTATTGTTACTTTTTTTTCTCCCGGCATTCTACAATAATAAATATATACTCCTCCTTGAATATTAATATGTTAATAAATAATATTGTGGTAGACCAGACACTCATTTGTTTATACCCCTGAAGAGGATTGTCTGCCCCGAAACACGTTTTTTTTCTGGTGACTCTAAATAAAATTAATAAAAATTAAATAAATTATTGAAATATTATTTTTTTATTCTTAGCTTTATAAGTGGAGTGGCTCTACTATTCTCTATCCTGTCTGCCTAGTTTTCTAAGAGATTTAAATGAGATCTAGAAAAACAGAGTTGACAGCTAACTCCCATAAAAAAAAAAATAAAAAAATTTGGATTTTAATTGATTTTTAGGTCATTTTTAGTTTTTATTGTTACTTTTTTTTCTCTCTTGGTATTCTATACATATAAATATATATTCCTCTTTGAATATTAATATGTTAATCTATAATATTGTGGTAGACCAGACACCCATTTATTTATAGCCCTGAAGACCCTTGTCAGCCCCGAAACGCATTTTTTCTGGTGATTTGAAATCCCCTCCGCTTTCTTTCCTCTCCTTGCAGTGATGACAGTTCAGGCTAGATGGCATCTGATTGGTCAGCTCCATCACAATCGCATTCTTGTGCAAGTTGCATGTTAACCTTTGCGGTGCAATTTGCATCCATTAACACAAATTGCACCGCAGAGTATTGGTCAAGGCAGGGGTCTCCAAACTCTCTAAGGGCCAGTTTATTGTTCTTCAAACTTTAGGGGGGCCACAATGTGGCCAGCGGGAGCAGAAATGTCCTGGTATCAGTGGGAGAAAATACTGTCCCATTTTTTGTATTAGGTGGAGGAATAGTGTCCCATTGTTAGTGTCAGTGGGAGGTTAGCGCTGCATCTTTGGTATTAGGGGGGAAGAATAGTGACCCATCATTGGTGTCAGTGAGAGGAATAGTGCCCCATCATTGGTATCAGTGGGAGGAATAGTGCCCCATCGTTGGTGTCAGTGGGAGGAATAGTGCCCCATCATTGGTATCAGTGGGAGGAATAGCGTCCTATTGTTGGTATCAGTGGGAGGAATAGCGTCCTATTGTTGGGGTCAGTGGGAGGAATAGTGTCCCATCATTGGTATCAGTGGGAGGAATAGTGCCCCATCATTGGTGTCAGTGAGAGGAATAGTGCCCCATCGTTGGTGTCAGTGGGAGGAATAGTGCCCCCCATCATTGGTGTCAGTGGGAGGAATAGCGTCCTATTGTTAGGGTCAGTGGGAGGAATAGTGTCCCATCATTGGTGTCAGTGGGAGGAATAGTGCCCCATCATTGGTGTCAGTGGGGGGAATAGTGTCCCATCATTGGTATCAGTGGGAGGAATAGTGCCCCATCATTGGTGTCAGTGGGAGGAATAGTGCCCCATCATTGGTATCAGTGAGAGGAATAGTGCCCCATCATTGGTGTCAGTGGGAGGAATAGTGCCCCATCATTGGTATCAGTGGGAGGAATAGTGCCCCATCATTGGTATCAGTGGGAGGAATAGTGCCCCATCATTGGTATCAGTGGGAGGAACAGTTCCCCATATTTGGTATTAAGGGGAAGAATAGCAAACTATTGTTGATGTCAGTGGAAGGAATAGTGCCCCATAATTGGTGTCAGTGGGAGGAACAGTGCTCCATCGTTTGTGTTTGTGGGAACAATAGTGCCCCATCATTGGTGTCAGTGAGAGGAATAGTGCCCCATCATTGGTGTCAGTGGGAGGAATAGTGCCCCATCATTGGTATCAGTGGGAGGAATAGTGCCCCATCATTGGTATCAGTGGGAGGAATAGTGCCCCATCATTGGTGTCAGTGGGAGGAATAGTGCCCCATCATTGGTATCAGTGGGAGGAATAGTGCCCCATCATTGGTGTCAGTGGGAGGAATAGTGCACCATCATTGGTGTCAGTGGGAGAAACTATGCCCCACTGTTACTGACAGTGGGGGGAATAATGCCCCAAGGGCCAGATAAAAACAAGTAAAGGGCCACATCTGGCCCCCGGGCCACACTTTGGAGAGCCCTGAGTTAAGGTATCGGGAGTATTTTTTGTGAGTACTCATAAAAATACTCGGTATCAGCGCATCCCTACTTCTCACCCATCACAATAATATTGAGCACTTGACAGAGGGTCTAACCCTTCCACCATTCAATTCAGGTTGAAGATTACAATCCATAATTGCCTGGAATTCTACTCTACACTTGCAATGAGCATTGCACACCCAGTTTAGTTGAACTTGTATAGAACACTGAATGATTCTATCATGAAAATCAGATATCGGTGTGAGATCCAACAACGAGACAAGTTTTAAATTTGTCCTAGAATCTAAGCAGGTCGTTGTGTGATTGCACAGTTGCACATGACGTGAGGCTCCGTGGGATTGTACAATCAGAATCTTTTTGTACGGGGAAATCTTACAATTTTCTATAAGTAAACAATTACCTGGCGGAGAGTCTGTCCCTCCTGTACTCTATCCAAAACTGAAGAAATTGATTTTGACAGCTGCGGACTGACAACTCATGGAGCCCTGGGCAATAGGGGACCATGGGGCCCCTGTGTCCTCACCCACACTCAAACCACACCCAAAAAAGCCTATGAAAGGTACTAGGGGCAGCTCATTTGGGCCCATTACTGAACCAGTGCCCAAATGGTCAGTCCGCCCCTGCTTTAACCCCGAAAGCCATGGCCTTTTAGCTGGGGGGGCACATTGGGACAGACTTCCCGATTACATGATAACTGTGATTGGCTGTCACATTGGTCACGTGATCAGGAGCCAGTCCTGACAGCTCCCAATTAAAACTAGAGACCAAGAGCTCTCTGGACTGCTATGTACACATGTTCCATGGTTGGCAAGAGGTTAAAGGCCGTACTCATAGAACATGGAGCCATGATTGACCTCCCAACTGAAAGTGATTGTCATGTTGATCTGACGGATTCAGTACCCAAAATGTAGCATGCTAACAGTATTCAGGCCAGGAGTTCAGACTTTCAATGGCAGTCCCGGTCAGGGGCGGACTGACAACTCATGGGGCCCCCGGGCAATAGGTGATCATGGGGCCCCTGTGTCCTTGCCCAAACTCAAAAAAGCCTATGAAAAAGGTACCCGGGGCATCTCATGGGGCCCCCTACTGACCCCGGGCCCTCGGGCAGTGCCAGAGTTTCCAAATGGTCAGTCCGCCCCTGGTCCCGATATTCCTCTCCAAAAAGATGGACGCAGTTTGGTTCAGTCATTCACCGCCCACCTTCTTCAATGAACAGATCACTGAATTTGGGTTCCCAGCTCCCCCCCATCAAGTCCAATGTAAAGGGCTTCCTTGCCTACCTAATGTTACAATTGAGATTTGAGGATCCTCCACACTACCCCTAGCCATGCCATCTACATTTTCCTACCGTAATCTCTACAATGTAACATTAGAGATCAGCTTTACAAAAAACTGCAAGTAAATAAAATATTTTATATGTATATTACAGATGTTTTCCTTGCCAAAATCTTTGATTGATTTTTAATGTGCCTCTGAACTTGGCAGGAGGAGAATTCCAAAGCACAGCCCCCTCCCTCCCTGAACATCAAAGCCCTCCTCTTCTGTGGGAGTGTCTGATTACTGGCTGTGCTGTCCCAGCAACTTTTCCCCTCCCCTTACCTCCCTACATAACTATTTATATAGCTTCCGGGGGAGGGAAGAAGGGGAATACTATAGAGCAGCCTTTCCCAACCTTTGTTACCCCAGAAGAACCCTTGAAATAATGTTCAGGTCTCAGGGAGCCCCTGCTAAAACCAATTCATTGAGGGTGAGTGGAAAATGCCTCTTACATTGGTGGTCAGTGTGAAGAATGCCCCTTACATTGGAGGTCAGTGTGAAGAATGCCCCTTATGTTGACAATCAATGGGAAGAATGCCCCTTACATTGGTGGTCAGTGTGAAGAATGCCCCTTACATTGGTGGTCAGTGTGAAGAATACCCCTTATGTTGGCAATCAGTGGGAAGAATGTCCCTTATGTTGGTAATCAGTGGGAAGAATGTCCCTTACCTTGGTGGTCAGTGTAAAGAATGCCCCTCATGTTGGCAATCAATGGGAAGAATGCCCCTTACATTGGTGGTCAGTGGAAGAATTCCCCTTACATTGGTAGTCAGTGGGAAGAATGTCCCTTACATTGGTGATCAGTGTGAAGAATGCCCCTTACATTGGTAGTCAGTGGGAAGAATGTCCCTTACATTGGTGGTCAGTGGGAAGAATTCCCCTTACATTGGTGGTCAGTGTGAAGAATACCCCTTATGTTGGCAATCAGTGGAAAGAATGCCCCTTACATGGGGTGGTCAGTGTGAAGAATGCCCCTTATGTTGGCAATCAGTGGAAAGAATGCCCCTTACATGGGTGGTCAGAATGCCAGCCTTAGGCCCACCACACATCCTACACTCTGTAAGTCTACTGTAGATCTATTGACAAGTTTGTAGTTCAGGGTTCTCCTTGGTTGGATATAGATTGATTGGATAGATTACGTAGATCCTCATATAGTTTTGGTAAATCTAAAGGTGACTGCGTGGAAGGTGTACGCTCAGATTGTAACCTGTATGATGAGCCATTGGTGTCATGGTGATGACTCTGCCAAGTGATATTGGACTCAGAATTGTCCAGGTACCACCAATTGGGAGGTCAAATAGCCACGGCTCAAAGAACCCCTAGCAAGCTCTGGAGGAACCCTCAGGTTCCACAGAACCCTGGTTGACAGCTCTGAGTCTGCAGGTGCTGCTAACACCACATCCAAGATGGCAGGACCCAACGACAGTCTCAGGTCTCATGGATGTCTACATAAGAGCACCTAATCCTTTGCAATGGTCTTATCGATTGATGGAGCTGGGAACCCAAGTGCAGGGATGGCTCTCCTAAAGTGCCCCATTGGTGATCTGGGATTCATCCAACCCATCCATCCTATCTGTAGTAGAATTGTTGTAATACTATCGGTGTGTTGCAAATCGGGCATTGTACGGGGGCAAGGACTTCCAGCAACCAAACTTTAAAATCCAAGACAGTCCGAAGGCACCGTAGTCATTCAGAGCAAGCCGCCATTTCCTTTGTTGCATATCAGACACCCCAAAAATGAGAGCTGCAGTTTGATTGGCTTAGAAATAAACCACACTCATTAATTTTTTTTTTTTTGTTCTTGTTATTTTTTCTGTTTGTTTTGTTTTTTTGTGTTTTGTTTGCTGTATGCACGTTTTATCACTTTTCTTTCCACAGATTTTGATTTTGTCTCTCGATTTTCTTTCACCGTGACAGCAGGATCTATCAGGCACACAGCGGCCTTTGTCTCTATGCTCTGCCTCTCTGTACTCCGCAGCTGACGCTGTTGCCTGTTTGTCTGTCCCCTTCGCTCTGTTTGTCTATCTGATCCCTCACTACCCCAACCCCGCGCTCTCTCCGTCCTTCTCTCTTCTCTCCCTGAGCGATCACTTCCTCTCTCTTTGGATCTGTCTGTCAGCTGTCGATGGAAGACACAACATCGATCCTTCCTCGGTTGAAGAGACACTCTAATGCTTACGGAATTGGTGCTCTAGCCAAATCTTCGGTCAAAGGTACTGGACGCTCCGTCATAAAGCCCAGCGATGGCGGCACGGGGGGCCGGGAGTACCAATAACCTACCTCCCTCTTCTCTCTCTTTAGGTATCTCTCGAACGATGAAGGATCACGTCACCAAACCCACGGCAATTGGCTCAGGAAGAGTTGCTCATATGATAGAATGGCAAAGCTGGGGTCAGCCGCCACCGCCGACCAATGAGAGCGTCAGGATGGACAGCGACGCTTATTCTGACTTGAGCGATGGGGAGAAGGAAGCACGGTTCCTGGCTGGTGAGTACTGGGGGCCACGGAGTCATTCTGGAATGGCCACAACCAATCGGCTTCCATGTTAGATTTACAATGAGTGCCGGGATGAAACATTTCATTTGTCTGATAAGTTCAAAAAATGTCATAGGTCCCCCAATCACATCAGAGTTCCCCCTTCAATGAAGAGTCACCCCTGCACATCAGTGGTTCCCCTATCACAGCAATGTTCCCCCTTTATATCTGAGTCCCCTCATCACATTAGTGCTCCCCCATCACATCCAAGGTTCCCCATCACATCCAAGGTTCCCCATCACATCAGTACTCCCCCATCACATAAAAGGTTTCCCCATCATGTCATAGATCCCACAGTCACATCAGAGTCCCCCCTTCATTAAGAGCCAACCCTTTACATCAGAGTTCCCCCATCACGTCAGTGCTCCCATTCACAGCAGAGGTTCCCCCATCAAATCAGAGGCTTCCCGTTGCTTTAGAGGTCCCCCCATCACATCCAAGGTTCCCCATCATATTAGTGTTCTCCTATCACATCAGTGCTCCCCCATCAAATCAAAGGTTCCCCCATCATGTCAGAGGTCCCCCAATCACATCAGTGTCCCCCCTTCATGAAGATTCACCCTTTCACATTAGTGGTTCCCCCATCACATAAATGTTCCCCCTTTATATCACAGTCCCCCACTCACATCAATGCTCCACCATCACATCCAAGGTTCCCCATCATATCAGTGTTCTCCTATCACATCAGTGCTCCCCCATCAGATCAAAGGTTCCCCCATCATGTCATAGGTCACATCACATCAGAGTCACCCCTTCATGAAGAGTCACCCCTTTACATCAGAGTTCCCTCATCACATCAGTGCTCCCATTCACAGCAGAGGTTCCCCCATCACATCAGAGGTTTCCCATCGCATTAGAGGTTCCCCATCATGTCAGAGATCCCCCAATCACATCAGAGTCCCCCCTTCATGAAGAGTCACCCCTTCACATCAGTGGTTCCCCCATCACATCAATGTTCCACCTTTATATCAGAGTCCTCCCAGGCATCACATCAGTGCTCCCCTATCACATCCAAGGTTCCCCATCATTGTTTCCCCATCACATCAAAGGTTTCCCCATCATGTCATAGGTCCCCCAATCACATCAGAGTCCCTCCTTCATGAAGAGGCACCCCTTCACATCAGTGGTTCCCCCCTCACATCGATGTTCCACCTTTATATCAGAGTTCCCCCATCACATCCCAAGTTCCCCATCATATCAGTGTTTCCCCATCACATCAGTGCTCCCCCATCACATCAAAGGTTCCCCCATCATGTCATAGGTCCCACAGTCACATCAGAGTCACCCCTTCACATCAGTGGTTCCCCCCATCACATCAGTGTTCCACCTTTATATCAGAGTTCCCCCATCACATCCCAAGTTCCCCATCATATCAGTGTTTCCCCATCACATCAGTACTCCCCCATCACATCAAAGGTTCCCCCATCATGTCATAGGTCCCCCAATCACATCAGAGTCCCCCCTTCATGAAGAGTCACCCCTTCACATCAGAGTCCCCCCCATAACATCAGTGCTCCCCCATCTCATCCAAGGTTCCCCCATCACATCAGTGTTCCCCCATCACATCAAAGGTTTTCCATCATGTCAGGGGTCCCACGGTCACATCAGAGTCCCCCCTTCATGAAGAGTCACCCTTTCACATCAGAGGCTCCTCCATCACACCAAAGGTTCCCCTCATCACATCAGTGTTCCCCCATCACATCAAAGGTTCCCCCATTACGTCAGAGGTCCAACAATCACATCAGAATCCCCCTTTATGAAGAATTACCCCTTCACATCAAAGGCAAGAACATACAGAACAGGAGTCCACCCCGCCATACCGCCCGCCCTCCACAATGCTGAATTAAGGAAGGGGGAAGATTATTGGGGGATTCTGTGAAATGGGGGGCTGTGATGTGGGGGGGGGGGGGGCTGTGAGGGGGGAGCTGTGATATGGGGGGCTGGGAGCTGTAATGTGGGGGGGGAGCTGTGTGATATGGGGGAGCTGTAATGTAGGGGAGCTGTGATATGGGGGGGGGGGGGCTGTGAGAGGGGGAACTGTGATATGAGGAAGACTGTGAGAGGGGGGTACTGTGATATGGGGGAGCTGTGATGTGGGGGGAGGCTGTGAGAGGGGGAAGCTGTGATATGGGGAGGCTTTTAGAGGGGGAGCTGTGATATGGGGGGGGGCTTTTAGAGGGGTGCTGTGATATGGGGGGCTTTTAGAGGGGGAGCTGTGATATGGGGGGCTTTTAGAGGAGGAGCTGTAATATGGGGGGCTGTGAAGTGAGAGGGGGAAGCTGTGATATGCGGGCTGTGAAGCGAGAGGGGGGCTGTGAAGTTGGGGGTAGCTTTGAAATGGGGGAGGTCTTTGAGGGTGGACCTTTGATATGGGGGGCTGTGAAGTGAGAGAGTGGAGCTGTGATATGGGGGGCTGCGAAGTAAGGGTGGGGGGAGCTGTGAAATGGGGGGCTGATAGGGGGAGCTGTAATACTGGGGAGGGGCTGTGATGTGAGAAGGAGAGCTGTGATATGGGGGAACTGTGATGTTAGAGGGGGAGCTGTGATATGAAGGGTCTGTTATGACAGAAGGGGGGGAAACTGTGATGTGGGGGGTTGTGATTGCAAGGGGGACTGTGATGTCAAGGAGGGACTGTGATGTAAGCGAGGCTATAATGTTGAGGGGCCCTAACGTGAAAGGGAGCTGTGATGTTCGGGGGGCTGTGATGGGAAAGGGGGGGCTGAGGACATTAATTAGGGGCTCTGATGTGAAAGACCTGAGTAATAGAAGACAAATGAGATTCGGACGTCTGCAGAAAGAAAATGTTACCAACCGGACCTCTGTGAATTGTTATTCAGTACCCCTGCCGCAGAGCATCATTGAATGTTATGGCACTAGAGGCCAGCCTGTCCACACCATTGCAACTCATGGCACTTGTCCGGGGCAAACTAGGTCCCTGTACCCAGAGGAAACCCAGATGGCACCCTGGTGGAGAAAGCCTGGACTGATGGTGATCCAGGGACCACTTCCAAGCAGCACATCCGGGTCAATGACTTCACTCTTCATTTAAAAAATACAACTTGGTCACTAACTCTCCTCTCAGGCAGATGATTGGACAATAAAGAAGCAGACACAATCAGAACCTCCCTCTGCTCAATCAGCTTCCCAAGTCTTGCTGTATAGGGGAGTCCGGGAAGCTACTATAAAGACTGATCAGTGTATTTATATCAGCTGTACCTAAAATAAATTTTGACCATACGGCCTCATGGCCACACCTGTCTGCTAACTGGCATATGCCATGCTTGGAGAAACTCGCACATGGGCGTAGATCCATGCAAGTTGCTTCTGTGCATCCTGGTATTTACACCAGTGCGAATTTGTACAATCATGGCATATACCTGCATACAGCCGCTCAGTACTATGGAGATTGTACGCTGGAAGTGCGATTTACGTCAGATGCCTGAAAGCTGTGCCAGGACAGGGTCATCTAGAGCCCAGGGCGAGCATGCCATACTGCGCTCCCCCCCCCCCCCCCCCGTGCTGTGTCAGCAAACATACCCCCCAAAAACAAAATGGAGTACTAATATACATGCTTACCCTCTAAGCATAAATCTCCTCTCCATCTATTACAAATTCACCCGCCTGCTGAAATCCCCCCTCCCAGCACAAAACTTAATCCCCAAATCCCCCCCCAGCAAAAATGACCCCCCAAAAAATCACACACTTCCTAGCACAAATCCTCTACCCCTCAAATTTCCCCTCCAAGTACACATCATGTCGTCCCCACTCCCAATCCCCCCTCCCAGCACAAATCCCCCCCCCCCCCAGTTCCAACTGTGAGCACAAATCGTTTCCCGCCCCCCCCCCCCCAAATTTCCTCTCCTAGTACAATTCTCTTCACTTCCCTACCATATCACCTGTTCTAGCACAAACCCTCTAAATCCCCCCTCCTAGTACAAATCCTCTACCCCTTAAATTTCCGCTCCAAGTACACATCCTGTCCCCCCCACCCCCAGTTCCCCCTCCTAGCTTAAATTCTACCCCCCCTACCCACCCCCCCCCCCCCCCCAAATTTCCTATCCTAGTACAATTCTCTTCATTTCTCTACCATATCACATGCTCTAGCACAAATCCTCTAAATCCCCCCTGCTAACACCAATTATCTTCCTACCCCCATCACAAATCCATCTAGCAGCACCACTCCTGGCACCCCGCCCTGAATTCCTCCTCCTAGGACAAATCTTCTGCCACCCCCCCCCCCCCCCATATTCTCCCTCCCAACACAAATCCACTCCCCCTCAATCTCCTTGCAGTGTCAGAGATACCACAGTGCCCAGGGCAGCCGCCCCTTCTGCCCACCCCTTGTCCCAACCCTGCCTGAAAGGGCCCATGTGCTTGAGGCCTGTAACTGGATTTGATGGTCATTTGCTTTATCTATTAGTTTTGTTTGATCAATTTAATTCTGAATTTAACTACCAAATCTTCAGCCAAATTTCGGTCCCATCTGTGAGCACTGTGGCTGTAGATAACATGTCAGATCCCATTTATATGAAGCAAAGAAATAATTTTCTCGATTGTCCATATTTTACACTGCAAAATTGTTCTTCAGCTTCAAAATTGCATGAATAAAATGGTGAAAATAGACAGTCTGGCCAAAAAAACAAAAAAAAAAAAAACAAATTAGGTCAATATACAGCAAAAATAAAATAAAGAAACAAAAAACTTAAATGATAGAAAAAATATAATATATTGAGCTGCATACTCACCTTAGAACGCTGTCCTCCCTCCACCCCCATTCATTTTCCAGATGATCAGTCCCAGACCACGCCCACTTTTGGTTGTGGTCCCGCCTAAAAAAAGCAGGAACTGCCCACCTTTAGTTTATGCAGTTTTATGAGTTACTGTAAAGGTGAAGCTGTGGTTCCAGGACACAGCCCGGGACACAGCATCATAAAAGAGAGGTTCACAATGCG